TTCCATCAGGGAAACACACCATTATTTAGCTGGATTGATGGAGGATAATGAATAAATAATCAAATACTCAAAGAAACCCGACTATTCCTTATGACACAAGTAAATACAATTAAAATAATGTTCTATATTATTAGATATTAGGTGACACCTCAGCCATGAAGACCACATGGCAGGTTCAGAGTTGTCAGTGCCTTGTGGAACTCCTACCTTTGTCACTGTCGTTCCCATTCTCCAGTGGTTACATCAGATTTCTATTCTCAAATCATCCCAAACACAAATTTTTATCTTTGCAAAGTAGACCTGATGTTTCCACTAACATATGCAATGTTATCAACAAGCTATCCCTTGTGGGAGCTTCAAATAAGAAGTGAAATATGAAGACTTTGAGAGAGCCCAGATTTCCCTGAAAGGTCAGTGAGACCATGTCTGTTCAGCCAGAGAATAAGAGACTCAAGAAGGTTCACTGTAGTTTTCGAGCAATCAAAGGAATTAAAAAAAAAAAAAAGTTTCTTTTTTTTAAAATTTATTTGTTTATTTATTTATTTGACAGAGAGAGAGACAGCGAGAGAGGGAACACAAGCAGGGGGAGTGGGAGAGGGAGAAGCAGTCCTCCAGCAGAGCAGGGAGGCCAACGCGGGGCTCGATCCCAGGACCCCGGGATCATGACCTGAGCCGAAGGCAGACACCTAACGACTGAGCCACACTGAAAAGAGGTATAAAAAGGAAAAGGTTTATACTAAGGCAAAAGAATTCAGACTACAGAGCAATTGGCAAGGACTCCCTGCCTAAAGAAAGACATAGCAAGAGGAACTTTCTCCAGAGGCTTTGAAGGAAAAGGCCAACAAGTCGCCTTTGTGAATTGCTTAAAAGTAGGCACAGATTCACCCACGTACAAGATGATGTCCTTTCCTACACGAAGAGTCCCAAAGAGCTATAGCATTTTTATGACTTCTTTTGCTTTCATGCTGAGAAAGTCTTTCACCCACCCAACATCAGATAAATATCAACTGTATTTTAGATTTGCATTTTTTACATTTAATTCTCTAATTCAGCTGAAATTTATCCTGATGAACAGTATGAGAAAGGTCTTGATTTTTTTCCCAAAAGTTTTTTCAGTTATCGTACTGATTACTAGTATATTTATAAATAGCTTAGGTATTTTGGTATAGCCAAGGAATATCTAGGCATTTCCCTAAATATCCATCATTAAGGAGTACCTAACCCCACTTTACTCCGACAATCTTGATATAACAGTAATCATTTTATTTGGAGGTGATTCAACATCCTTATCTTGGCCCATCTACATCTTCAAAAGCTCTAGCCATATACCCCGGGCTCTGAGAGCAGAGAGCACCACCAGCAAGAACTCTGGACTAACATGGGCAAGAGCCCTCTGTCTGGACAAGCACTCTGAAAAAAGAACTGCTTTCCCTTAAGAACTACCGTGGGAGGAGGACCCTGAGATAACCTGAAGAACATAAGAGCAAGAGGTAATAAGGCAAAGATGGCACAAGGCTCCAAGAAGTCATTAGAAAAAAGAACCAAAGAATGGAAAGTCTACCCTTATAGATGTTTCCAGGTTAAAAAACCTAGAAGATCTCAACTATTTAGTTGGATAATCCAGTGTACAATCAACCTAGTGAATTTCAATGGCATTTTCTAAACTTCACATTTAGGAAATAGGGAGCAGCAAAGAGCTACTCAGTTTCCCAGCCGCCTAGCAAATAAACCAGGAGCCAGAAGCTCAGCTGCCTGAAGGAGCAGACAAAAGGACTAAATGAGCAAAGGGAGTCCTGTGAACTGGGCATGAGAGTCTGGGAAGCAGTGGGAAGCATCGGAGAGGTTACAAATTGGGGTTCACGTCTCTGGAACACTTGCTCCTTCTAGTGGTGGATCTAGCTACCGAGACGCAGCAGAGTCTGTGCCCAGGAAAATTCAAGCCCAGAACTGCCAGATGGGCCAGTTTTTCTCTTCACAGAGTCACAAATTCTTATGTGAGTTTCCTGTTTCTCAAGTTTGTCAATTAATTAAATTTTCTTTTTAAAACACAGAGGTCAAACCAGATGTATCTATCAGTGATATTTGGCCCAGAGTTCACTAGCATGGGAACTCAGATTATAACATCATACAACCCACAAGTCACCAAACTGTCCAAACACCATCCCCTGCCCTTCTGTGCTTCCTTTGTGTCTCCCTTTTTCCTTGATATGACAAATTATGGCAAGCTACACAGCTCACTGGGTTCTAGGGTACATGTGGATTGTGAGTGAAAGATGGCAGACCACCTCATTCACCCCATTTAAGAGTCAGCCAAATTCTGGTCTTAATAAGAAACTGCCATTTTGGGAATGAAGACGAGTCACCATACAGTCATGTTGTTAGGTCAGACTGCTGACCCAAATTAAATCATTCTTTTTTTCTATTGTCAGTGAAGAATAAGTTCAAAAATATATTTTTTTCTTTAAGAACTCTCAGATGTTTTGCTTCACTACCAGTGACTAATGGCTCTCAAGGTCACAGGTTTTGCATCAGGCTGGCTTATCTCATTCTATAAGTAAAGGAATAAACCTCAAAAAATTCATTAATTAAACAGAAAATCATTTCCACTGAAAATGCTGTAGAATTTTTAGCTTCTACACAAAATAGACTGATTATCTACTTATACTCAATAAGTATATCGAGTGGCATCCTACTGCAATCCAAGTAAGTCAAAAGGTTTTAAGAACTGAGTCAACCCCACGGAGATTCAACCTACGTGTCTGTCTTGTACATATCCATATATATTACCTTTTACCACAGACTTTAACAGGATTGCTATACTAGATGCTTTTTGTTAATCATATAATGATCAAATTATGATAATCTAGAAGAGAAATAGAACGCTTCTATTTCTTCTTTTACTACATAGGATCCAAAAATAATGGTTTTCAATGGAGAGTAAACATGTTCACTTGAGAGGGACTGATCAGGGAAGGTTAATAAATTTTTTGACTATCCGCACACATTATTCTTACTAATACCTAACTGCCATAACTTCTCCATTCTGTCCATCTTTCTCCACCCTAAACCCTGTATAAGTAATATTATAGAGGGTGGCTGATTCTGACATCAATTTGGAAATAATCAGCTTTAATTCCTAGCTGAGATCAAAATGGACAATTGTGGTAGAAAAGACCAGTGATGTCATAAACACAGCTGATTCAAATAGGAATTTGTTTTCTAAAAAAAAGTTCCAAGTACTTGTGTTTCCAAACCGGATCATTTTTACCATAGAACATGATGAAAATGGAAAATGAGAAGAAAACCTACGAAGTAATTTTTAATCCAGTCTTTAGGGGCACCTGGGTGGCTCAGCTGGTTAAGTGTCCAACTCCTGATTTCAGCTCAGGTCATGATCTCAGGGTTGTGCAATCAAGCCCCACATTGGGCTCTGAGCTCAGCGCAGAGTCTTCTTAAGACTCTCTCTCTTTCCCCCTCCCTTTGTCCCTCCCCCTACTCGCAATCTTTAGAACTCTTATTTTACCAGGGGCACAATGGCAGTTAAGTGGCTAAAATGAGAACCGGCTCAATGAGTCCATATTTGTATTAAACAGCAGCAAGTATTCATCGTCAGGTATGACGTTCAAAAGGACAGAAGCCCTCGATCCTCTTTGGTTGAAGACAAAATACCAAGACGACCCAGGGGTCTCAAGCCCCAGTAACAGGCCTAATCCTTTCATCTGTTCCCAATATTAATCTCTCTAAAAACACACTCATTCTTATGCACATGATTTACAGTAGTTGTGTTTTGTTTCTGATTATCAGAAAACCTACAGAATCTTAAAATTTAAAGTGCTATACTATAAGATCAGGTAAATTATTCAAATATTGCTGATACTTTATTTTGTGAGAATGCTATGGCAGCATTCGTTCTCTCTAAGAAGAAAGTAAGATGGGGAGAAAGGAAGGGAAAGATGGCTAAAGCCCACAGGACTCAGGAACAAGAGCACGCAAGTCCCCAAAAATTTACATTAACAGAGCTTGATACCAACACACTGATTCGGTCATTAAAGCAAACATTTTCACAATAAAGCAAAAATATTTATTGAACAATCACAATAGCAACAGGAAAATCTGATATCCAAGAAGAAAGGAACAATATCAAAAAGACCTCTAGCAATAACGTGGATAGTTTTTCCTTTCTACCCTGCTTTTTTGACACTAAATTCTGAAGCACAGATCTATGTGAAGAATAGGAACAAGTTTCAGAGAATGATAAAGTTACTGTACTTATTTATCATGTCACAAATCAATAGTCCTACAAAAACCTGTTCCTTCTATGAGAAAAAAAAAAGAAAAGAAATTAGATTTCTAAATAAAAATACATCTCCCATACTTGACTGTTCATGAAGGCATATCCAGAGTAGAAGATTTACTCTGAACAGTAAATGTCAAATTTACATTCTTCTCTACCACAGAAGTTGTACTTTTTTGTACAAAAATGACACACAGTATATTACTCCTCCTTAAGAAGTAAAAACTATTGGTCCCCGCTTTGAGTTTCCTAACAGAGCTTAACCATTTTCTTTTCCTCCTTCATAGAGGACTACAACCAGGCAAGCACCTCACCAGTTTTTATTTCAAAAATGCTATGGAGGGGCACCTAGATGGCTCAGTTGGTTAAGCATCTGCCTTCAGCTCAGGTCATGATCCCAGGGTCCAGGGATTGAGCTCCATGTTGGTCCGTCCCTCATTGTCATCATCATCATCATCATCATCATCATCATCGTCAGGCTCCCGCCTCAGCAAAGAGCCTGCTTCTCCCTCTGCCCCTCCCCCCACTCATGCTTGCTCTCTCTCTTGTGCTTTCTGTCTGTCTGTCTCTCAAATAAATAAATAAAATCTTTAAAACAAAAACAAATATGCTACGGAGGTTTGACTAATGGAAGTCTCAAGACAGTAGAAAATGAAATGATTCAATGTCAATAACACAGACACATGTTCATTATATCCCAACTTACCTAATACACTGACAAAGGCATCAAAAAGATGAAATGTAAGTAGAGGCTCTTTCAAATGACCATAGTAATCTGCTATGGTTTTAAAGACATCTTTTTCAAATCCTAAATACATAGGCTGCTTCAAATCTGAACAATTAGGCCCTGTTAAAAAAAGAGAGAGAAAAAAAAAACATTAATGGGACGATCACATCTAAGGATTAGTCTCTATGTATATGTGTGTGTACAATATCAAGATCAGATAAGTTTTCATGGGGAAAATTGACATTATATAATTGACATTATACATTTGCTTACACAAATATTCTTTATGTCTAAATCAAAATCTATATAAAACAATGAGGAAAATCACTGACTTACTTGCATTTTAAAAGAAACCCACTCTTTCTTTTACATCCTTCTGAAAGGCATTTTTGTTAAATGTAGACGATGATTATTTTCTGTGAAATATTCAATGTTTTCCTAGTCTTGACACAGTTGACCAAGATGACAATTAGCTCACATATGTAATAGACAAGTTATAAAGCAATTTGCAAAGCTTTTCATTATTTTATCATTGCTATATTATGAAATCCTAGAGTCAGAGCTGAGTTAATCAAATTCTACCTCAAACTAAACTACTTCAGACTAATAAAAACTTACAATCTTTTTCTTAAAGATATTCAAAAAAGGAGATTTTACATTGTGTCCTGTAATTCATTCTGACTATAAAACTATCTCATCCCCAGCCAACCTTCAAAAGATAGTGTTTCAAGCAGAGCATATTCCAAAGTTGGGGTAACTATAAGAAGCCTGGAACAATGTGGTCCCGGCCATACCCTAAGCAGAAGCAAGGCAAAGATCCAGTTGTGTCTGGGACCAAAGAAGAACAGGAAGAAATGCTTAGCTCTCTACAGATGAGGCAGCAAATGCCCCCAAGAATCCACACACAGACCACAGATTTACATTGCCAAGTAGAGAGACAAACTGGAGCTGCTCATGTCTTGAGGGAAATGGCAAGTAGCCTCATGAGGAACAGTTTGGCCAGTCCTTCAATTCCCAAGAGAGCACGGAAGAAAGGAGTGCAAGTGCACTGGCCAGTTCTGGGCCAGCAGAACACAAGACTAAACAATTAGACCCAAACAGATCTCTATCCTCAGGGGAACAAAAGATAAAGTCAGTAAAAGTTGAAAGAAACCCTCCAGAATCACTGCAACTAAAGAGAAATGATCAAACCAAAAAAAAAAAACAAAAAAACAAAAAACAGTTAAACATTCTGAGCCTTTACATTTCAACGCCAATGGGACCACGTGAAAATGGCTTCTGTTGGTCTCCTTAAAAACCCTCTTACCTTTTAATATTCTGTATACTTCTCATAAAATAACTTAATTTGATTGACTAAAATAATGAAAATCATGAAAGACCTACATGCGGTCCCGTGTTAACCTAGCAACCAACAGAGCTGCCATTCTTGCCTGCTTCCTCCTCTGCAACACCCCAAGCTTAGTCAACTGAAATCATTCATTTGGTATGTCTCAGCAGTGGGCCCTATGAGAGGAGGTAGTATTCCTAAGATGTTTCTTTTCTCAATCATTTTGAACTTCAAAATATCCTTTTTTTTGCATTTTTTTATTTTATTATGTTATGTTAATCACCATACATTACATCATTAGTTTTTGATGTAGTGTTCCAGGATTCATTGTTTGCATATAACACCCAGTGCTCCATTCAATACATGCCCTCTTTAATACCCATCACCAGGCTAAGCCAGCCCCCACCCTTCTCCCCTCCAGAATCCTCAGTCTGTTTCTCAGAGTCCATAGTTTCTCATGGTTCGTCTCCCCCTCCAATTTCCGCACCCCTTCATTTTTCCCTTCCTACTATCTTCTTTTTTTTAACATAATGTATTATTTGTTTCAGAGGTACAGGTCTGATGTTATTACCGACTGATATTGGAAAAGTTTTGCCTGTATCTGTTTTTTTTTTCTTTACTGAATCCTTATAACCTACATGCACAAAGAAGAAAAACACAGTTAACCTGTTTTTGTATTTACTATCAGTCCATCCTTCTGTGGCCAGCCTTGTGGCTGGCCGACAATGAAAGGACCCAGGCCTACGTGCATCTGGTCTACCAACGGGCCTGCGAGAAAGAGGGGAGCAGCAAACTTAGAAAAGGAGGTAAGAGGCCTTCAAAATATCCTATAAATCAGCCAGCCTATCCTTTCTGTTGTTCCCTATTCGATGACTATAATGAGAATCTTGCCTCAACAAGGATAAGAACGAAAAGGAACAGGTCATGACTTTGAAAGACTCAGAGTAAATTTGGGGGGCCAGTGAGAATGTGGAAAATTTAATAATGTTACAAAACTACTCAAAAGGACATCCTTGCCCTTTGGTCACCTTTTCTTCTTTGACACATAAACAAGCATTCTTACAGATATGCCAACCACCTGTAAAGCACTGCACTTAATTCATGTGAGACATGTCCCTGTTCCCAAGAACTTCCACCTAACACAAGACCACCTCACACATGGAGAGAACATTATGAAGTTGCTCTTTCCATCTTTCCCCTTCACTGTTGAGTAATTCCAGTTATTCTACTATTCTTTTTTTATTATTTTATTATGTTATGTTAATCACCATACATTACATCATTAGTTTTTGATGCAGTGTTCCATGATTCATTGTTTGCGTAAACACCCAGTGCTCCATGCAGAACGTGCCCTCTTTAATACCCATCACCAGGCTAACCCATCCCCCTACCCTCCTCCCCTCTAGAACCCTCAGTTTGTTTCTCAGAGTCCATAGTCTCTCATGGTTCATCTCCCCCTCCGATCCCCCCCTTCATTTTTCCCTTCCTACTATCTTCTTTTTTTTTTAACATATAATGTATTATTTGTTTCAGAGGTACAGGTCTGTGATTCATCAGTCTTACACAATTCACAGCGCTCACCATAACACATACCCTCCCCAATGTCCATCACCCAGCCACCCATCCTTTGTGGCTTTATGTTTACTACTCCCTTGAGGGAAAAACTGCACTCTTCGCTACATTTTGATCATCACTGAAAAACTGATATCACAACCACACCTTAATGTACATTACAGAACATACTGTAGCCTAGATTTGTTTTACCAGTTTCCTCTATTCTTTCCCAGCTGATTAACTTCCAAATCCTTGGTTTGCCAAGATTTCAGAAATGGGTAATTTAATTTCACCTTTATACCTTCTATCTCATCATTGCCAACTCTGGCCAAAGATATAATTTAAATTTAATTTACTTCAGATGGTTGAGCAGGAAGAATAAAAAGCACTCTCCCAAGCTGAAACCACTCTACATCTCAGAGGTTCCAAAATATTAACCAAAAATCAATGAAAATTTAATAGTTAAACACAGAAAACTTTAGGCTTCACACAAGCTAATAATTGGTATTCATATTTAAAATGATAGTATATAATCATTGTCCATATATTATGACTGAGGTTACCTACAATAAACTGCATAGTTACCTTAATTTCATTCTCTAATCAGACAAAACTAACACCAGTTAAACAAATCATTCAGAGTCCTACTAATTCAAAATTTTATTACACCTTTATCTGTACTCGTAAGCCCTACCCAAAAGGTACCTTTCTGAGGCCATCTGTGAGGCTTAAAGGCCCCATAGACCAAATATTACCATTGTTAGTCAACCAAAATAACTAGAATTCTTCTCATTAAAATCACTTGTTTGGGTTAAACCATTAACCATTATAATCCCTTCTTTGGGTAAAGTCTTCCAAAAAATCCCCAGAAAAATAGCAGTGTCAGTGAGATACTATAATAACACATTCTTTACAGTGCCTATGATATCCAATGGAGTGAATATCTATGCTGTGAAATGGACTGCATAAGTCTATGCAAATCCTCAGAAGGACCACCACAGTCCAGGCCCTGTCATCTTACATCCAATAACTGAAATACCCCGTCTTGTTTCTCCACACGAAAGTTCTCCTTCCAAACCATCCTGCTTATCAGTCAGACTAGTCTTCTAAAACATTTTTCCCCCTTAAACCGGTGCCCTATAAAAAGCCAATAGTAGACAGGATCTGCTGAGCAAATTGAGATGTAAATACAGGGCATACTGAGGAATATGTGTTTCAGAAATAAAAATGTATAAACTGTCAATAGGCCACTATCTGCACAATATTATATTCAATATAACTAATTTTCCTTCACTGCGATGAAACAGTCAGAAGAAGTAGTATGGATTTTATCTGTAGTGTGATTATATCCACCAGAAAAGAGAAACACAACATTTCTTCAAAACTGTTCTATAACTCAGCCCCTTCACCAAGTCGCAAATGCATCACTAACAGCACACTGGTCCCGAAATAATTAACTGCTAGTCTCACAGGTGTCAAATCAATGTTCAGGCCATTGAACAAAAATATTTTCTAATTCAGGACACTAATTTCTGTTAATCTTATAAAACTGGGGGATAATTAGTACTTACAATTTGCCAAACACTTCATAGCTGACAGTACCCAATGAGGAAGCTCTTCTGCAGAGAAACGAAAATAAAAAGAAGATAGTTGATTTAGCTGCATATAATGCGAGGAATTACATACATACATAGAATCATAAGAATGTATAACCTGCCCAAATAATATGAAACATACCTGCCAATCATAATCATAAATCGCACATCACCTATTAATAGAACGCCATGGAATAGAAATAGAACTCTCCTAGGAAAACTTTCCTAGGAGCAGTGTCACAACATGAGCTTGTACAGATCATGCCTGCAAATTTCTCAAAGGACAAGATGCACCTTTTAAAGCTTTGGTGAAAAGCAGAAATTTGGTTTATTCCAAAGAAACAAACTAACTGATCAGTTACCCTAAGAATTAAGGAAAAGACAGAAAAAGTAAAAATATTAGTTACCAACTATATTTGTGAATCCAGGTCACCAACCCCCCCAAAAAAGGGGGTAAATTCTCTATGTCTGTTGTCCAATATAAGTATCATTTTGCATGTTTCAATTTTCAAAATGTTTCAGGGCAAGAAATTTCCATTGACATACTAATATAGGCTATGAGTTTTTGGACAGCCTTAAAGTAAAAACTGTTAACATTGCTACAAGAAATCCGAGCTAAGCCTTTTTCCCAGAGTTCCTCCTCTCCTGGCCCTGACACAGACATCTGATGAGATGGACCCACACTCATGCTTCTACTTCTCCATCTTCTTCACTTTGTGAAAAACTGCAAAGACACTAATCGAACTGTATTAGCTCTAATGAACCTGAGGCTTGTGGAAGTGTTCTTCTTTCTAAGAACTTGGTAAGACAAAAGATGACCAATGATTTAATTAGTAGGTAAAAGTATTAATGTTTGCTCTACTCAAAGAATATGGAAGGATTTTAAATTTATTTCAAAGGCAATAGCCCCATCATTCTATGTAATTTAATCGTATAGGTTGATATTAACCTGACAACTCACAAAGTCACAAATTTATTTCTGTTTCCTGATACCATCCATTCCCAATACAGAGGCTACATAAAAGAGGAGGTGTTTCAAGTTTCAAAGACACATTCTGCTCCTGTCAGGAACTGGGACCCCGAAAATCCTCTTTCCCTCTCACAACTGCTCAGGCTCCTTCGGGTAGAGTTCTATCTTGCTGCCCAGGAGCCCCAGCCCTAAATTTAATAATAATTTATAAAAATCCAAAAGTACTACACCATCTTCCCACATCCAAATGTCATTCTAGTTCCAGCTATTCCCAGAATCAAGGGTTGGAAGTAAAGAAAGAACCATTCAAAAAACCCATCCAATTCTGGCCCATCCCCAATTTAAGAGAAGAAAGCTTTAAAGTCAGTTTGGGGATTCTGGCCCACTACAGTTACCATGCCCTTATTTTTCCAAATAAAAAAACCAGGATAGGCAGCTGCTAAATGTCTTTTTTTCCTGACTTGTAAACTGGCTTGGAAGAAAAGGAATAAAAAAATTAAAGCACCTTCAGCATTTAAAGGCCTAACTTTATTAACAAGAAAAAAAAATGACATAAATCAAGACTATCCCAGAAAATCTACCACAGAGACATCATATGAAAAGGTCAGGAAGAACCTAAAATCAATCAGACCCACTTGAAACCTAAAATCAGTCTCCAAGATCCAGTTAGTCACAAACTGACTCAAGCACTCAGTTAGGTCTTAAACTTACTTTTCAGGGATTTTTCTGTGAATAATACAGAACCACTTAATGCCCAGTGTGGCTAACACTGAACTAGCCTCTGGATGGATTGTGCTGAGGCTCTGACTCCTGGATGTTCACCTTTCCTTGACACTTCCTTAATCCACACAATTATTTAAATTGAGGAAATGAAACAAGGCTATACATAATGAGAAGGTACATTTATTGAGGGTTTAGGGAAGGATCAATAAAGAAGCTGATGGACCTGTGCAGCCAACACAGTGGGTCAAATGGGACCAGAATGGTTTTTATGCACTTACTCGACTTGTCATCAAGGATGACAACTCCCTGCTTGCTCACACTATACACATTATGGATGATGAACTTGGAGTTGACCAGTTTAATGTCTAAGACCTCTTCCAAAGAATCCAGGCCAAGGACTTTCTGTAAACTGGAAAGATACATGATAATTAAATTAATTACTTAAAAAAAAATCAGTATTACCCAAAAACCTGGCATGTAAAATATCAATCTTTAGAAAGTTTTTTTTTTTAAAGATTTCATTTATTTATTTGACAGAGAGAGACACAGCAAGAGAGGCCACCCAGGCGCACCAAAAGATCAATCTTTAAAATGCGTTGTTTTCATGCATTTTATCCAATCTTGGCAAAAAGGCTAGAAATTGAATATGATGAAACAAACTTAAAGGACCTTTTGGCCATTAACAGATTGGTTCACTAATTTAATAACCTAACACCCTGAATGCCAAGAAAATGATTTCATAGGTATAGATATTATAAAAACAAAAACCAGCTTATCCAATGATGAGAAACTGCTAATGATATGTTTGTGAGGGAAAAAAAACTGCTATATAACATCATTTACTTTAATTACCTGTAGTATACCAAATATCTAGGAGACCAAATTTACCACTGTGTTTCATTAAACATAAAACTTTAGGGTTACTAGAAAGTTGAAGAACTTTTAAATTTCTTTTCTTAACTATTATATAAATGACAATAGAAAATTTCCAGAATTCAGATGCAAATAATACAAAGTTAAGGTTTTAAGGCATAATTTCAGAAAATTCAATATGCAGAGAGTAGTAGAGAAGCAAAATAGAAAACAGTGAAAGTTCTCATTAACATCAAATGCACGTACTATGCTAACGTCATAGACTTCCATATCTCTTCTACGTTGGCCTCTGTCAGCTGTCTGCGGTAGACGAGACGGCAAGCCGGCACCTCGCCAATGGCAATACTGTGCCGCTTGTACCACATCTCAGAGTTCTAGTTGGCGGGGGCGGGGGGCGGAGAAAGAAAGAGAACAAGTATTTCAATGGACAGGGATACGATTTTATCAGAAATTTCTTTGACTTGGTTATTTGCAATTTGATTTAAAATAATAACTAGAAATATGAACTCATTTTCTTTGCATAGACTACAGAGAAGTCGAGTAACCCTTAAGGATGAGGTCACATTATAAATGAGTATTCATAAATCACAAAAGAATAGTGGCAATAAACATGACATCGACTATTTTTTCCCTGTGGGAATTCCAACTACTCAATGAAGTAGCCATGAAATAAAATTCATAACTAAGGCATAGAATACCTATCCATATTTACACACTGCCCAAATGGAGTAATTGTTTAAAACAAACTTAAAGTCTATTACTTCCAAGAATTCTCTATTTTTTATAAGCAAAATCAAATAAGTACAAAGTCAAAGAGCAGCCCCCAGATCTTAGGCAACTGCAGAAAGCAGGAAAAACAAGAGCTCCACAGCACAATCATTTACAAAGATATTCTATAAGAGTTTTTACAAAAGTATCTTTATAGAAAAATCTTATACACTTGGAAAAACAGAGGCAGAAATTTGTTTTGTGATTTTGTTTTTGGAGAATTACTGAATTACAAAAGAAAGTTGAAGACCATGTGGATTTGTGAATTTTTTTTAAAGTATCTAAATTACGTGTTCATTTTTGAAGGCAGGCATATAAACTGTTGCCATTGGCCTAGCAAACCTACTTCCAAAAGTTATCTTAAAGAAATACCATGGGGGCAACTAGGTGGCTCAGTCAGTTAAGCGTCCAACTCTTGGTTTCAGCTAAGGTCATGATCTCAGGGTTGTGAGATCAAGCCCTGCATTGGGCTCCACACTGGGCTCAGAGTCTGCTTGAGATTCTCTCTCCTTCTGCCCCACCCCATGCTCCCGCTCTCGCTCTCTCTCAATAAATAAATAAATAAAATCTTAAAAAAAAAAAAAAAAGACCATGGATATATTCAACTCTTTATCTGTAAAGATATTGCTCACTACATTGTCTAACTGGAAACACAGTATATATCTAACAGTAAAGGACTGGATAAATAAAATATATTACTTTCATATTAGACAAGATACAGATATTAAATATGATATCAAATGTCTAATAACATGAAAAAATAAGCTAAGCACAGTGTTCAAAGTGAAGAACACAGGCTATGAAAAGCTCAACATGATCCCATTTTTGTGTTAAAAGTTTGTATGGAAAAAAGGATACACTACAAAAATGTTCATGTTAATTCTCTCTGGATGATATCATAAGTAATTTATTTTCCTTTGTCTCTGCCTGAAAACAATTCTTTTTTTTTAAATTTTTTTATTGTTATGTTCATCACCATACATTACATCATTAGTTTTTGATGTAGTGTTCCATGATTCATTGTTTGTGCATAACACCCAGTGCTCCACGCAGAACGTGCCCTCTTTAATACCCATCACCAGGCTAACCCATCCCCCCACCCCCCTCCCCTCTAGAACCCTCAGTTGGTTTTTCAGAGTCCATCGTCTCTCATGGTTCGTCTCCCCCTCCAACTTACTCCCCTTCATTCTTCCCCTCCTGCTATCTTCTTCTTTTTTTTTCTTAACATATATTGCATTATTTGTTTCAGAAGTACAGATCTGTGATTCAACAGTCTTGCACAATTCTATTAATGAATAACAGCAATAGTAATTAACAGTTACTGAACACCTGTGTGCCAGCCACTGTTCTAAGCGCTTTATAGATTTGAATTCACCTGATTCTCACAACAAGCCTGCCCCAGAGAGTATTATTATCATCCCAGTTTCACCATTAAGAAAACTGAGACACAAACACAATGAACAAAACAGAGAAACAAGCTCAAATAGCTAGTAAATGGAGGAGCCAAGATCCAAACCCAGTAGTCTGGCTCCAGAGTCCAATATCTTACTTTCCACACTGTACTGCCCTCAGCAAACACAACAGTTTATTTTATTATTTTATTTTTTAATTTGTATAAACGGTGAAGCAAGAGAAAAGACAGGATAAGACAAAAACAAAAACCAACAAGCAAAGAGGAAGCAAAGACAAAAATAGGGAAAGTAAAATAGAAGAAATGAATGATGAGCTGAAGTTCTTCAAGAAAGATGAATTCTTTCTTTATTGACCATTAAACTCCTCATTCTAAAATCCACATCAAGGACCAAGTGGGGAAACAGATCCTGCTCTGCCATTCTTCCTTTGGACATTGGTCAAGAAGCGGCTGCCGAAGCTTTGCTGGAATTACAATGAGCAGGGAGCCCAAACCTCTCCCACTTTATTCAAGAGGGAAGTACAAGACAGGTACAAATGATGAGAGAAATGATAAGCTTTAGGAGAAAATGGTTGATGACTCTAGGACACTGGTATACCAGTTCAGGGCTCCTGGAAAATTAGAAAATGAAAACAGAAGATACAAGTCATTGTCATTGGAGCATTAAAGTATGCTAATGAGTACTTGGTTCTACAGATGACACCAGGAATATTACAACTTCATAGAACCAGGTGGAATAGAAACGGGAAGTTACAGTATTGATGACATAAATACATATTAACTTAATACAGGATTTTATCTCTTTCGTACAAACAACACTAGATGACCTTATAAAGAAAAAAAATGCCTGTTGAATAACCACTCTGCCGAAGGGGTCATGTTAGATGTTTAATTGCAAATGTTCATAAAAAAATGTCCCTGACCTCATGGAGCTTACATTTTAACTTTCTCTGGGACAGGAACTATCAACTAGACCTTAAGTAAGTATTCCTCATTAGGAATGAATTAAAAGTCCTCAAATACCCAAAGTAGTTCCACTTTGTTTTCTAATTCTCTATTTTTGTATTGTATGCTTCACTAGACTATGAGCCTTTTTAGAGTTAAAACTGTAGCTGTGGAGCTAACACAATGCATGGTACACAGCAGACACTCAATAAATATTTGTTGAATGAATAATTTAATGATCTTGCCTTTAAGTTTCAGGACCATTATCTCCATCTGCCTGTGAGATACCTCCACTTAATACAGACCATGTTTATCACCAAACATATTTAAAACAAAATTCATCACCATCCTGCAAACCTGCAAGCCCTATGGAGTCCCTATTTCTGTCACGGGCGCCACTCTTTTTCCTGAATTATCTTTGATAAAGCCTAAGTTTCTTTTTCTTTTTTTAAGGTTTTATTTATTTGAGAGAGAGAGCAAGTGAGCATGAGCTGGGCAGGGAGGGGCAGAGAGAGAGGGAGCAGCAGACCCTCCACTGAGCAGGGAGCCCAATGCGGGGCTCGATCCCAGGACCCTGGGAACATGACCTGAGCCAAAGGCAGACGCTTAACTGACTGAGCCACCCAGGTGCCCAAAAGCCTAAGCTTCTTAACTATTATTCTCTTCAAACTGAGAATACAACCTCTTTAGGAAAAAAAAAGTTGCTCTTTCTTTTAATTAAATTGCCTAAAAATGTTTACATCACATCTTTGCAAATAAAAGTATGAATTGGACATCTATCAAACAAGATTAATTTAAAATACTGGTGTGGGTACAATTCTTAAAAACTGCCATATGAAAGTTTCTCTCTGTATTTTATTTTTTAGCATTGCCTCAATCATGGTAGTCTTCTACGGGAATATTTTAAGGTAAAAAGTACCCCCCAAAATTACTTTATTCTACATTAAGCTTAGGTTTCTCCAAACTAGCAGAATCTAACTGTTCATTATTAGGGGTCATTCCACAATACTTCACACCCTAACCTTCTCACTCTCAACTGGTAATAGAACAAAATTCAAGAAGATACAAAGAGGGAGAAGAGTAACTTCTAGAACACAGGAGAAAAGGAGATTATAAGGGAGCTGCCACAGAAACTTGCTTGATCCGAACCTATGAAAAATACCTACCATGTATTCAGTCAAAATGTCAGCAGGAAAGAGAGAAAAGGTCCAACAGCTAATCTTTCCTTGTTACTGTTCTGTCAGCTATTGACACATAAGATATTGTTTTCAAGTACTTTTGGACCATTGTTCATAGAAAGGAGTAGACTAAGGCTGGTGGTTCACAGACCATTTCCTACTTCTGGAGGCTGCTAGCCCCGCCCCCAGCCACCACCACGGCCACCACCCCACTCCACCCCCACTTCCCTGCCCAGCTTTTAGTAATACACTTACCATCACAACTGGCCTCACTGGGATGTTTTCTTGTGAAGTGCTTGGTGGGGGGTCATTACATTCCGGAAATTTAATAACATCCTTTTGGTATGTAGGCTTCTTTGGATATGGTTTCAGGGGTGAGGAAGGAGGAAATCTAAAAACCAAGAAGGAAATTTCTATTACTGTAGTCAGTGGGAGACACAGGTATTTTAACAATAGTTCCCATTTCTTTTATCCTTGAGAATTTATATAATAATTCCAAACCTCAGATAATAAATGAGGTCAGGGCGCCTGGGTGGCTCAGTTGGTTAAGCGACTGCCTTCGGCTCAGGTCATGATCCTGGAGTCCCGGGATTGAGTCCCACATCGGGCTCCCTGCTCAGCAGGGACTCTGCTTCTCCCTCTGACCCTCTTCCCTCTCGTGCTCTCTATCTCTCATTCTCTCTCTCTCAAATAAATAAATAAAATCTTTAAAAAACAAACAAACAAATAAATAAATAAGGTCATGCACAAATTATCACACGTGGCTCACCATACCCAACATATGGGTTTTTTTCAATGTTCAGTCATTACACCTATCAGATAAACACAGGAACCAAACATGTGACACATTATGAAATAAATAGAATATGTTCTCTTATCAAATGATTTTCATGATTATAGATGTTCTTAACGGGCTGCTGGGGCAAGCCATTTCTTTCACCCAGCTCGAAATCCTTACCGCCTCACAACTCTCTCCAAAATTTATAGACGGTACCTATGCAAACATAAATTATGGGCAGACTAATCCTTGGTGATACTTGCTGAGGAAGAGTATATTGGCACAAGAATCTTTTAGCCTTTTATATCTATTTCAAATACAATCCTCTTTCCCTTGAATCTGGAGCACTTCACAATGAGATGGAAGCCTTGGTCTTGGAGAAGGGGAGAGCTGCCCAATGTCCTTCTTCTGCCTCTTTATACCCTTCTCTACCCCACCTGTCCAAGGCCTTGGTACCATCACTCCTTGGACTAACAGAGAGAAGCCTAAATACGATCTAATTTTTAAACTATTCTAGACCATATCTGATAAAGAACAACAGAAAGGTAGTTAAATACACATTTTCCTCAGAGGATCTTTTTCTGTTAGTTTGTTAGAAAAAGATAGATCGCACTGCCTTAAAAAAGTAACACGAGAACTCTTCTTAATGTTGACACAGAAGTCAATAGGTAGTCTACTTTTTATTTATTTACGCCAAAATAAAGGTTTAAAATCTTATCCATGATACCCACAGGAAATATAATCCAAATAAATGATAAAGATCTTATTCTTAGATGCACACAGAAATAAAGAATTTTTTAAATGTCTATAGTTTACAAAAAAAGTTTGTACTGAGGTGAATCAGGAGAATCACATATAATAAGCACTATGGAGGAACATTTCAAAAATAGTCACAATAGACTTGAAAAAGGATGGCTAATGAAGAGAAGTCGAGTTTCATCTTCTCTGAAAAGAATATCTAATAACTCCACTTTATTTGAAAAGTCAGTGAGAAAAAAATGAAATAATTAAATCGAGTTAAAGATAAATAAAATGAAAGACAGCTTAAATTTTTTAATCAAGTTGCCAAGGCAGGTATTTCCAAACAATTCCAAAATACAAATTAAATAAATCTCTAAAGCCAGTGAAAGTTACTATACCTCTTAAGTGAAGGCTGGCTTACAGAAGTCCAATCCTATTTCTGACAAGCCAACAATCACAACAGAAGTCCTACTGCCAACCAAAGTACACACCTGGGGACGGACACACACTCTCTCACATTCACATACACATATAATTGTGCAAACACATCCAGGGAAATCACAGGTCACCCATCTGTCAGTTCTTCAAAAATTCAACACCTTCCCTACCCCCAGCCCACCACTGATACCCACTGTTTACCCTCCCAACCCCTTCAACTAAAGTGTGAAAATCTGATCTGAGTTCCAGCCCTAATTCTCTCACGAACAGTCTATGTGTCCTCTGGAAAGTAACAGTGTCTCTAAATCAAAGTTGGTTCATTTGTCAAATAAAGGGATTACACTGGATGACTCATAAATATTCTCCTGGGTTCAAAATGTATTTCCTGTATCCCCACACCCAGAAACAAGAAATACCTTCCCAAAACCAAAGCAGAAGTTCTGATGTGGAGAACTGTGATTGAAGAGATACCAGGGAGCCACGTTCCTCCTTCACCCCAGGACGAGGAGGTCTCTGCCATAACGTGTATAGCTGTCCCTAGCCAGTGTGGGATCTTCACAGCCGCCAGCCGGAGACGAAATGCAGAAGAGCGCCCCTTGATGGACTACTTTTACTGTGTGCACTGAAACTTTTCCGTGTCATTTTAATACTTTAATCATGTCATCTCAGGCTTCAAAGCCTGTCAGGGATGATCTCATCCAAACGTCACATTTTTTTACTTACAGAAATGAAGGCCCAAAAGAGGAAAGCAACTTACTAAAAGCCTCACAACTAACTGGCCAAGAGAACAAACCATCTTATACAAAAGATACGCAAGCCCTTTAATAAGGACATTATAAAACTTTATTGAAAGACATCAATGAAGTAAATTGATAGAGAGATACAACATGTTGGTAAATAAGTAGACTCAATATCCATATTCAGTAGTAAAACATCAACATCAATATTCCTCATGGAGATATACACTTACAAAGAAATTCCAATCAAGGGCACCTGGGTGGCTCAGTCGTTAAGTGTCTGCCTTCAGCTCAGGTCATGATCCCGGAGTCCTGGGATCGAGTCCCACATCGGCCTCCTGGCTCAGCGGGGAGCCTGCCTCTCCCTCTGACCCTCTCCCCTCTCATGCTGTTTCTCTCTCTCTCTCTCACTCAAATAAATAAATAAAACCTTTAAGAAATTCCAATCAAAATATAAAATTTTCTATGAAACATGATAAACAGATTATAAAATTTATATGGAAATGCAAGAGGCCAAAAACATTGAGACATTCTTAAAGAAGAAAAACAAAGTGAGGAGACTTGCCCTACCAGCCATCAAGGCTCATTCAGATAATACGGTAAGGCAGCACTGATGGCACGGACCATGGATTCACACGGCCTCACCATTACTGACATATTGGGCTGGATAATTCTTGTTGTGGGGGGACTTGTCCTGTGCACTGCACATTGTTGGCAGCCTCCCTGGCCTCCATCCACTGGATGCTAATAGTACACCCTCCCAAGAGTGACCACCAAAAGTATTTCCAGACATTGACCCTTGCAAAATGGCTCCCAGGTAAAAATCATGGGCCTAGAAGGACAATCTAAAACAAACATACACATTTCTTCAGAAACCTGATTTATGATAGAAAAGACATTACAGATCAATGAGAAAGTATGGACTGTTCAATAAAGAGTCCTGGTCCAACTGGCTATCCCTTGGGGAAACGTGAAATCGCATCCCTGCTGCAGAGCACACTTCCAAAGATGCTTCACACAGGCACTTCCCATCTACATGCTCCTCTGCAAGGGATCTTGCCACTACCCTATCAAGAGCTAGCATGTGTTTCTCTCCTCTTTTGAGTCTGGATGAGCCCTCTCCAACTGCTTTGGTAACTAGAAGATGGTAGGAGTGAACAAAGATACAAATGTAGGGATCCGAAGGGGTTCGTGCACCCCAATGTTTATAGCAGCAATGTCCACAATAGCCAAACTGTGGAAAGACCCAAGATGTCCACTGACAGATGAATGGATAAAGAAGATGTGGTATATATACACCTTGGAATATTATGCAGCCATCAAAAGGAATGAGATCTTGCCATTTGCAACGATGTGGATGGAACTGGAGGGTGTTATGCTGAGTCAAATAAGTCAATCAGAGAAAGACATGTATCATATGACCTCACTGATATGAGGAATTCTTAATCTCAGGAAACAAACTGAGTGTTGCTGGAGTGGTGGGGGGTGGGAGGGATGGGGTGGCTGGGTGATAGACAGTGGGGAAGATATGTGCTACGGTGAGCGCTGTGAATTGTGCAAGACTGTTGAATCACAGATCTGTGCTTCTGAAACAAATAATGCAATATATGTTAAGAAAAAAGAAAAAGAAGAAGATAGCAGGAGGGGAAGAATGAAGGGGAG